AAATCACATCAGGAGACAATTTGGCCTCTTAGCACCCCCTGGTCAACAGTTTATATGAAACAGTTATAACCTAAATAGAAGAGTTTCATTTCTAACTACATTTTTGTTGATGTGTAAAACAAAAATATATTTTCATATATTTAAAACTCAGTGTACATTCTACCTATATATCTATCCTTCACTAAAAATAAAACCCACAAATGTAAACATAACTGGCACATCAATGAATCACAATAAAATATTCAAGGTGAGGAAGCAGTGAGATAAAAGAGCTTATAAAAAAATGGATAATAATGGCAAAAATTTTAAAATATAGAAGAAAGCCAAAATTATATTAAAAATAATTCTTGTGGATTATATATAAGTTAGACATATATACATTAAGAAAAACAAACTGAATCTGAATTTACATGAAAAATAAATTCATATGAATTTTCACATTTTAATTCTAAAATTGATCAATAGTCAAATTAAATCAGAATGTATAATATCCAATTCAACTTCTCAGCACAATGCTCTAACCAAGTGAGCTAAATGGCCAGCCCCAATTCAACTTCTAAATTTCTCATAAAAAGAGACATTGTCCATAATGGGAAAGAGAGAGAGAAAGCAAAAGACACAGAAAGTAGGAAACCACAAAACATAAGCAATGTAAAAATGCAGAGTCTCAAATTAGGTTAATAATAACAAACTATTTTGCATATAAAAACTACATCTCAAATAAAGGTATGGAATTTTAAAAGTAAAAATTTGAGATAAAGTTTTATTAGAAAAACAGGAATAATATTTTTTTTTCTCTGCCTCATGGAGGAGTAAAGTTAATGCTCATGAGAAAAGTCTGAAAACCACTATTGTGAGCCAAATACTGCCCATGATCTGTTTTGTAAAGAAAGTTTTATTGGAACACAGTCACGCTCAGTCATTTACATATTGTCTATGGTAGAGTTAAGTATTTCTGACAGAGATCACATGGGTCACAGTACTGAAAATATTGACTGTCTGGCCCTTTCCATAGAAAGTTTGCTGACCCCCACGTTAGAATATGCATAATAGTCGTTATCCTGTAGCTCATTACTCTCCCTGTACACAGTAGCATATTATTAGAGATATGAATCCTCCAATTTGATAAATCTAAAATTAATGTATTAATGTCCTTTAATACATAAATAATAATACCAAAACCAAAGTGTTTTCAAAACCAGTTATATTGGATTAATTTAAAAAATTATCCTGCTACTAAGAATTATTTGCGTTGACAGCTGAATACATCAGCAAAGGTCATAATTTTTATGTCTCCCATCCAGTTATATTGGATTAATTTAAAAAATTATCCTGCTACTAAGAATTATTTGCGTTGACAGCCGAATACATCAGCAAAGGTCATAATTTTTATGTCTCCCACTTGTCATAGGGAAATACTATAAGTTATATGACAGTTAGAATATCTGCAGTATTTTTTGTTTACATTGGTTAGTTTCATAGTGATTTTGAATTTTTAAAGAATTACTTCCTTTGATCTTTTCATCTTCTTTTTGTAGGAAATAATTCTAATATGTGTGTTGTGTATTAATGTTACACAATGTAGATTTCAGAGCAGAGAGTTCCAGGAATAAAAAAGGGCCATTTAAAAATGATAAAGGGGTCAATTAATCAAAAGGACATAATGATTCTAAACATTTATTTACTAAATATTTGTGTCATATTAAGAGAGCCACCCCAGCTTTCCTTTAATTAGTGTTGGCATGGCATGTCTTTTTCCATCCTTTTGCTTTTAACGCTTCCTTATATTTGTATAATGGGTTCCTTCTAGACCATATAGTTTATCTTGCTTTTTAAAATCTAATCATGTACTCATTGGCTTTTAACTGGGGTTTACTCCATTTATATTTGATGTGATTATTGACATGTTTGGGTGTTAAATATATTATCTTGCAATATGTTGTCCATTTGTCCCACCTTTGCTCTTTTCTCTTTCTAACTTCTTTTGGATTAACTTTTATTACTTCATAATTCCATATCATTTATTTTGTGGAACAATTATTGTGTTATTTTAGTGCCTACTTTAGGATTTAAAGTACACATATTTAACTTAACACAGTCTACCTTCAAGTAATATTGTACAAATTCATGCATCATATAAGAAACTACGTATTTCCATCCCTCACCTCCCAGCCTTTGTGCCATTGTAATTATATATTTTGCTTTGACATCTGTTATAAACCATATCACACAGTTATTAATTTTTCTTTAGAGAGTGGATTATCTTTTAAAGAGATTTAAATAATTGTTTGAGAGCTTTATATGTATCTACATAGATGTCTTTCCCAATTTTTTTCATTGCTTTCAGGTCTCGTGTTTGAAAAGTCTTTATTTAATCTTTGTTTTTGAACAATATTGTCAATTGGTAAATTATTTTAGGTTGATAGTTTTTGAGAAATCTGCGATTATACTTGTATAATTATCTTTGTTGTTTTATATGTAATGTGCATCTCCTCCCCTCAGGCTGCTGTTAAGGTTTTCTCTTTATCACTGATACTTAAACAACCTGATTGAGATGTGACTTGGTAAAGTATTTTGTTTTTTTATTTCCATGTTGCTTGCTCTTGAGGTTTGATAAGTTAATCTGGAGATCTATGGTTTTCAGCAAATTTAGAAAAATTGTGTGCACTATTTCTTCAAAAATTCTCTCGGTAGCCTAATTTTACACCTTTCAGAAACTCCAATCATAGTTATATTTGCTCCAGAACTCACTGACACTCTGTTCATTTTTCAGCCTTTATCTTTTACCTCTTTCATTTTAAATGTTCCATTGCTAGGCCTTCAATTTCACTAATCTTTTCTTTTGCAATGTTTAATAAGCCATGAATCCAATCCAGTTAATTTTTTTAATCTCAGATATTATAGTTTTTATTGGTACGAGTTCAATTTAGGTCTTTGTTTATACCTTCTGTGTCTCTACCTAACATGCTCAGTCTTTCCCCGAGCTTCTTGAGCATATGGAACACAGATATAATTGTTGTGGTTATAACAACTATTATATAACAACTATTAAATAATAGTTGTTTTAATGTACTTGTCTATTAATTATACCATTTTTGTCACTCTAGTTCTTCTCAAATATTATTTTTGCTATACTTTCTCTCTCTCCTCTTAAGCCAGTTATTTATGGCAGTTATATAAGCTCAGTTATATATGTGTTAGGAGTTGCTAAATTTTTTCTTTAAAAGGCCAGACAGTAAATACTTTAGGGTTTAGGGTTAGTGAGTCATTTCATCTGTTACAAGTACTCACCTCTGCCACTGTGGTGAGAAAGTAACCATAGACAATATGTACATGAGGCATGGCTTATAAGAAATATACCTTCTTGTCCTAGTGTTTCTTTTACCAGTAGATAACATCTTTCTTGGCATTTCATTATAGATTTCATATAAAAAGATTACTATATCACTCTCTTTTGGTTCATATTTACATGATACATCTTAATTTTTTTTTCTTTTAAACAACATATTGTTGAATCTTTTTTTAAAAAATGCATTATTAGAGTCTCTACCTTTTAACTGGTATGTTTAACTCACTTTTATAGTTAGTTACAGTTACATTAGTACTTATTTTTTATGTAAACTTTACATTTTTTTCCTCCACCTATGCTTTTTGTTTGATAGACTGTAATTTATTCTGCTGTTTAAAATTTATACAGGCATTTTTTTTCCCATTACTATGGCAGGTGTTTTTCCCCAAAACACCATCCATAATCATGATAATTTTCTTATAATCAATCCTTAAACTTGTATCTGCACACACACACACACACACACACACATACATGTATATACATTTAAGAATTGTATATATTTTTGTTCTAACAACACAAGTAACATAATTTTCCACTGACAACATTTTTCTTGACAAGACAAATTTAATTTACTTTCATTCCTCATGTTTCCTACCTCATCAAATTGAATCATGTTGAATTTTAGTTCTGGGTTATTATAAATGTACTTCTCCCTTTGGTCTACATTTTTTCTTTTTTTCCTCTCTGTCTCTCTCTCTCTCTCATTCTCAGTCTTTGCCAATATTAAATGTTACCAAAATAAAAGATCATTCTACTTATCACATATCTTAGATCATCTTCTGGATTTGTTCTTTTCTAATCTGATTTCTTCTTATAAAATAGTATTCAGTTGGGGTATTTGTTCTTTTCTTTGCTTTCTATTTAGCATTATTCAGAATTTTCTCTTTATCATTGATATTCTTAAATTTAATTAGTCTGTCTAGGTGTGAGTTTCATTATCTACTCAGCACTCAATGGTCCTAAATCTAAGATCTTTCATTTCTCTTTAATTCTGAGAAATATACCTAAATTTTTATACATAATATTTCCATGTGGAACTATTTTGTGGTTCATTGTTCTTCTTTCATATGGTTAGTATTTTCTAATATCTCCATAATTATATTTATCATCCTATTTTTAATTCTTAATCTGTCAGTTCCAGTATTTCTGCTTAAGATGGTATGTGTTGTCCAGTTTGTGCTTTTTCTTTTAGGTAACTGGAGGCTTTGGCATCTAGTTATTTTGGTGAGGGAGTTCAAGCTCCCTGGGTGTATCAGCTACTCCTTTTCAGAAGGATCTCTCAGTAGAAAAGATGGTCTAAATTTCTAGAAATGTGTTTTGGGTGAGGGCCAAAGGCCAGTCTGTAGTCCATGTGAATTCTGGTGAGTTTGAAAATACAGAAGAGGATAAGCCCTTGGGCAGAGAGTCAGAGAGCCCCAGGCACCACAGAACCTCTGTGGATTTCAGGATGTTAACTGTCACTCCCCCAAGAGTTTCATGTCATGAATCCATGTCTCCTTTCTAAAGGCAGCACAGCAATGGGAGGAGGCAGTCTCCCTAGATTGTTATTCATTAGCAAATGGGTATTTGGAGGGGAAGGCGGTAGAAGAGTGAATGCCCAAGAGCAGCTGCTCAGTCTTCACTTGTTTTTAATGATTCATCACCTAGACAGGGCCTTCCTGCTACCCCAATTGTACCTCTGAGACACCACACTAGTGGTCTGAGCTGCTGTAGCAGACTTTTGGGTGAACGGGAAGGAAATGATCATCCAAAGACAATGCAGGGGAAAGGCAAGTGTAAAATTTAAAAGATGTTTCTCCACTTCATCTCCTTAAGGTCATTTTTGGAGCGCTTTCATAGGAGGATGCAAATCCCTTCCACAGACAGCTATTCCAGATAGGTTTCAGTCTTCTCAAGGCCTTCTGTTGGTTGTTTTGGTTAATTCTTCAAAGATATCTTCCTGTAGTAACAATATTACAAAGTAAACTTTAAGGCTGATTTGAGGAAACTGAGCCAGCAATACAAGCCAGTTCACCCTCCTGTCAGGAACTGGAACATTCCAGCCAGTTGTTTTGTTAATTTCACAAGTAATTTCCTTTTGTTTTGTTTTATGTAAGTACATTCATGCATTGTTTAGCAATAGGGATTTGTTTTGAGAAATGGGTCCTTAGTCGATTTCATCATTGTACAAACATCATAGTGTACTTACACAAATCTAGCCTACTGCACACCTAAACTATATGGTATCACCATTATAATCTGATGGGACCATCTCTGTGTATGTGGTCTGTCACTGACCAAAACAGAGTTCAAAATCCTTCTCCCAACACGAATCTATTTGCATAGTTTTACCATTATAATCTGATGGGACCATCTCTTGTGTATGTGGTTTGTCACTGACCAAAACAGAGTTCAAAATCCTTCTCCCAACACGAATCTATTTGCATAGTTTTCTGCTCAAGTGCTCTTATATATTCACCAGCATATGCACCCAAAATGCAAAAACATCATAAAACAAATTAAAATGCAGAAATTACTACTTGTGCAAAGTCTGTACAATTTTAATTCTAAACATTTCTAAAAACTCTTCTAAGATGACATTTTTTGTATGTGAAGGGAGGTCGAATGGATAATTTGAATTACAAAAAAAGCCTTGATAACCCCCCACACATCAATTTACCTGAGAACAAAAAGAGTCACACTGAGAAAATGGGACTTGGGACTATTTGATAAATTACTACAGACTACTTGAATATCCCATTAGCAAAATAATAGCTCGTTATGGAACCTTGGCAGAATGTAGTATAATTACAATAGTACTATCCTCCCTTGGGGTTGGGAAAAATGCAAATGTTAAAAATGATAGCTATTTAACCAATGTTAGGAAAAAATGTCTCAAAACAAACTGAGAGGTTACATGATTTCTGAAATTCAGTGAAATGTCTGTAGTTTTTACCAGCTTTACTTAGTTGAATGTGTTTCTATCAAGTGAAGATTATTCACATTCTTGGACCCATACAGACATACACATGCGCTCCCCATGTGATAGTGATGATGGGATTACCTGAGTCTGTTAAAAATGTTCTGTAAACTCCACCTGGATATGCTTGAGAAGGAATTGCATAGTCATGTTCTCAGTTACCAGGTGAGAACATTTTGAGAAGCTTAATATTGACTAAGGTGCTGAAGCAGGACATCAAAAGAGGGGAATGACGAAAGGAAAGAATGGAGGGAAGGAAGAAGGAGGAAAGGAAGGAAAAATGGAATAATGAAAAGGAGCCGAGTGTCTAACTCACAAATATGATGACTTCTGTCAAAGAGTCGAAAGACAAAATAACAACTTCACAAAATTGCCTAAATTCATGAACTAATATGTAGCAAGTGCCTTTCTCTACGAGAATAAAATGATATATACATGAATAAACAAAACTAATTTTTCTTTAACAATTTAGCTTCACTTTTCAAACATTTGGATGTTAATTGTTATATTCAATAAACCATCTAGGAAAAGCTAAACTGTACTAATCGAGCTATTTAATCTTGTAATGTTAAAAAGTTGCTTCAAGAAAATAAAAGGTATGAGCATATAATTACTCACTTCAGCTGGGAGAGCACAAATCAGTAAAAAGATGACTGGATTCAACATGTGGCTTTTATTCCTTTTGTAAGCTGACATCTTTGCTCAAATTTAGGAAATTTGCAAAATATTTCTAAGCAAGAATTTCACAGTGAATGTTACGCTCAATGAGCAGGGATATTCATACCTGAATCATATTGCTATGTTTAATGTCTCTTAGTTGAACATGAAGTTTGTAATGGTCCCCAAGCTTCCCCGTGTGAAGTATGTATTTGTCCAGTCTCCATCCTTTTGTAAAGGTCACCAGAGGCAAACTTGCAGAATAATTAAGAAACAAATCATATATTCAAAATGACAACAGAACAGTTGTGCTTGTCAGCATGCCTATGATATTTTATTCAAATATCCTGTCAGGATGAACACAGGACCTGTCAAAGCTAGAACTTGGCAAATACACAATAAATATTTGCTGAATGAATAAAGAATACATGAAATAACATGTTATACTGAGTGTACATATATTTTCAATGTATATCACCTTTCCATTATTTGTCGGTAATCAATGGCATGGTTATTCAGAAATCATGATTAAATTTGGAAAGTCTATGTATTTAGGCACAAATGCTTTACCTTCCTAAATGGTGATTCTCTTGGACACCATTAAAAGATCCTTCTAGTTCTTCAATACACACGGGAAGTGTGATGGAAAACAGTGACTAGGAATATAATTAAAGAATTAAGATTCCTTTGAATAACCTATAAACAGAAAACCAAAAGTGATTTATTTAGCATTCATCTGGGATAATATCCAAAGTTTCCAGAAGTAACTTTGTGTAATATGTAGTAATTTTCCCAGAACATACATTTTTCTCGAACTTGGTTGCTTGAAAATTATTCTGGAAGGATGAGGTTCCAGCCTGGGTAACATGGGGTAAGCCCTCCTCCCCTCTCCCACTGAGGGCAACTATAAAACCTGGGCACACTCTATGGAGCCGCGGTTTGTGCACTCTGCAAAATAAATAGTAGCAAGAAGATTGGAGAGGAAGATCAGAATTCCAAAACTCATCGAACCAGCAATGAAGTTTCCTTTCTTTTCCCTCTGGTATCCCTTATCCTGGACTTAACACAGCCAGGAACGGGGACGTGTGAACTGTGGTAGAGACAGAAAAAAACTCCAGAATCCTGACCTGAGCAGTAGAAAAGAGAACTTACCACCCTCAGAAAGAGTAAGAAGTCCAATTTCCTGCCATTTCTCTCTTTTTTTCCTGTGGTAGTCCTCAGGCTATCCCAAGAGCGCCATGGCAACTGCAGCTACGGAAAGCCACAGGAGACAAACTAACTAAGGGAGGTTTCTCTGCGTTGCCAGAAATCACAGTCCTAAGAGGGTGGGTCTAATCCCCATTATTTGTTTCTTTCTCTGTTGCTTACCTGCTTGGCCCAGGATACAGGCAGAATCTTCTGTAGGCTGTCTTTCACCAAATTTGGAAAGTTTTTAGCTATAATTTCAAGTATTTTTTCATCGCTACACTTTTTTCCTGTCTCCTTTTGTGACTCTGATGTTACAAACCTTAGATCTTTTGGTATTGCCCTACAGGTTCTTGATGCTCTATTGATTAGTTGTTTTATGTAATTTCTCTCCATTGTACAGATTGAATAATATCTACTCATTGATCTGCAAGTTTACTCTTTCTACTGCCATCTCCATAGTACTATTAATACCATCCTCTGAGATTTTTAATTCAGGTTTTGTATTTTTCTGTGCCCAAATTTCCATTTATTTCTTCTTTACGTCTTCTATTTCCTTGCTGAGATTTTTCCATCTTTTCATTTGTTTCAAGGGTGTTTCTGTCATCCTTTCTCATTGGAGAAGTCTTATAACCACTTTAAAGTTTCTATCAGATAATTCCAACTTTTATTTCATCTCAGTGGTGGCAACCGTTGATAGTCTTTTCCTATGCAAGTTGATAGTTTCCAGGTGCTGAATAACTTTGAGTTATATAGTAGGCAATTTGAAGATTAGGCTGAGTCTCTGGGTCTTGTTGAAATCCTACAGAGAATGTTGATATTTTGCTTTAGTGGCAATTAACTTAATTGAGTTCAGGTCAGAAATTTTGATCAGACTTTTTTGGCCAATTTGGTCTTCAGATCGTTTGCAGTGTAATTCTCATCTATCCAACGCATCCCACCTGTAGCCAGTCTGGGAGTTGGGCAGTGATGTATCCCATAGTTCAGTCCTCAGTCTACACATCCTGTTTAGGCTCAGATACACACACCTGCAGCTCAGGTTAAGCACAGAAGTCCACATACAACTAAAAGGAGTTACTTTCTTTTAGTAATTAAAAGATTACTCTTATCTCTTTGAAATCTCTTTCTGATTCCTTCAGGCTCCATTTTTTCAGACTTCTGGCCAGAAGTATGAGGCTTAATACACCCTGCTCTGCTTCACACTTTTCTTGACTGTACCCTCAGTAGCAACAAGGGAGTAGAGTGGGGGAGTGGGCAATGGATAGGGGAAGTAACACTTTGGCTCTACAGAAGTATGAGGCTTAATACACCCTGCTCTGCTTCACACTTTTCTTGACTCAGAAAGCAACAAGGGAGTAGAGTGGGGGAGTGGGCAATGGATAGGGGAAGTAACACTTTGGCTCTAGGATTATAAGGAGGCTGAGGCACTAGAGGACAAAGCAAAAGAAGAAAAATAAAAATGGATTTCCACACTTTCTCTGTGCATTAGGAAACCCATTTAGCACTCCCTGATCCAGAACAAGAGTGCTTCTCCTGGATCTCTGTCTGTGCCAATGATCCCTTCCGGTTCTCAGGTCATTGGGAGTTCAGGCAATGGAATTCCTGAGGGGCAAAAATTGGCAAACACACTGTTGGTTTGGTGGTACTCAATTCCTCCCACCCCATTGCCTATTCATTCATCTGTCTAATCTCTCCATCTCTCTATTTTACTAGCCATCTATCTATTCTAATATGGGACTAGTTTGGATGCTAGACTATAAATCTGTAAATGGTTGATCAACATTTTATTTTGGTAGTCCTATTAACTATTTAGGCTAAAGTTTCTTAATCCAAAAGCTAGCTTCAGGATTACTTAGTATAAGATATTAAAGGTTTAACAGGGTAGTTTAGGGAATTGAATTAGTCAAATATGGTATATAAATGTCCAGTTGTATTTTTTTCATTTGCTGTAGAAATAAAGAATTTAGACTCATGATGGGGCTCATTATTTTGAATAAATCTGTGTTTTAAGAGACATGGCAGAGTGAGCCATCTACCCACCACATGCTTGAATTCTGTTGATATTATCTATGCTAAATGGCAATTACTCTAGGATTAATCTAGAAATACTGCTTTCCAAGGCAGTCCAGTCTTATTGCTGTGAAATTCTTCTCTAAATTGAAGCCAAAGACATTTTTCTGCATTTTCAATCCATTTTCCCTTCTTCTACCTCTTTGGGTCTTAAAGAAGAGGGCTTTTTAAAAAACCCATTTATTTATTTTTTCCAAACAGGAAAACCCTCTGAATATTTGAAGACAGCTTAGCTTTCCCCACCTAAACACTCTTGGTTTCTCTGAAAGATTTTCCTATTACAGTCTATGGTCATGTTTCCCTGGGTGGTCTGCAGGCCATCTGTTGCAGAATATTCTGAGGTTCCTATTAAAAAATGCTGATCTTTAGACTTCACCTCAGATGTACTGAATCAGAATGTCAGATTGGAGAGTTATTGCTCTATGCTGTTGGAGTTGGGCCCCAGCTGGGCTCACTATCAAACTGCTCTGTCCTCCTTTTCACTGTTTTCTCTGCCCATCAATTGAATACCAGTGGGGAACTCACCCTTAGAATCTCAAAAGTACTTTTAAAATGTTTCCAGAAATTGGCGAAGTCATATGCCTTGAGATTCCTGTATTCTCCAATGGATAATACAATTTATAGCAAGCAATGTAGTGAGAGTCAGGGTCTCTGAAAGTCTGAGATACCAATACAAGTTTAGGAGGCCATTTCTGGGTCAAAAAGACTAATTAGAAAGAAAGAACTTAGAAATATGGGGCTTGGTAGAGTGATTTTTGTTGTAATTGCTGCTGTTGTTACAATCCGTCTGGGCTCACATGTCAAGTTGGTCGAGTCCATTCCTCCAAAGGAGAGAGTCAGGAAAAGTTAAGCTCAAATTCTTTCTTTGTGTCCTGATGGAAATCCTTTTGTACAGAGTTTGATCTTCAACCACAAAGAAGTGGCAGCTCCTTGGGAGAAGGAGTTTTTAGCCCAGTTTCCCATTAAATTCAACTGAGAGTTAAAAAATAAAATAGCAATGACTGGGCTCTATATCTAGAGATGCTGATTTAGTGCTGCTGGAATAAGGCCCAGACGTCCTTTTTTTTTTTTTGGTTTTTTTAAGCTCTCCAGGTGATTCAAATATACATCTAGGGCTGAAAACCACTCTCCTAAATAATTAAAATAGAACTTTCTCTTGCTATTTATTGTCAATAGTAGTATGTACACTTCCAGGTAATTGGTAACAGAATCGTAAAAAACCTGGTAATTACTTGGGAATAACACTCTTCTCTCCTAACCCACTACTTTGGGGAAAATTTTATTTTATTTTTTTTAATTTGAATCTCTAGGGAAGAGAGAGACATGTTTAAATTAATTTGGGGGGAAATCTCTTTGCAGTAGGGAATAAATCAAAGGAAATAAGTTAAGTCCAGAGAGAAAAATCGTTCACTTTGCTTCAGAATCAGTAGGATACATTAAAAATCAGTCACTCCTTTTAAGAAAATAATTTTGTTTCACTAACCTGTTTAACATTTAGAAACCCTCCCCCTCTCCGCCGCCATTATTCAGGCCATAAGAACTAAGAAAACTGAAAGCTGGGAATGTTTTTGGAAATATAAACGAAAATGTATCCTAGAACATTTCATAGACAAGTAGTTATTATTTATTCTGCCCCTAGAAGCATCTTTGTAATTGGGATTGTAGGCCCGATCTCTTTAGCTTGAAATACAACTAACATGTTTTTCTTATTTTTTACTCTCTGCATATTCATACGTCGTGGTTTTTCCCTCTTCTGAAAGCAGTACGCTTTAGCAAACCACATTATAACCAGTCTTGACCTTTTTTTTTTTTTTTTTCTGCAAGATTCAACTTTCACAGCTGTTGTGAGCTGTGGGCCAAATCAAAGCTAAGAGGAGCTTTGTAGTTTCTGAAATTTTCCCTTATTTCCAGAAAGGAACAAGAAGTATTGGAATGACTGAGCCACTGCCAGCCAGCGACAGATCTTGCAAGCACTCCCCTCTCGTCTCTCAGGAACTCAGCTGATTGAAGAAAGCCACCTGTTCCTAGGCCACCGACTTTCCCTGTCATCAAGAAATGACAACCTCAGAGGGGAGAAGAACCTCTTTGTTGGTTCTGGTGAGTGCCCTAGGAATTTGTGGTACAATGAAACATGAGTGAACTTCAGCTGAAATTAATGCCAAGAGCAGAGCAGGGGCATGTTAATGGCCAGCTTTCATTTTTCCATTGTTATTTCCATATGTATCTCTACGGATATTTGACTTATTACTTCAAGTTACAAAGCTATATAAAGAAAGGGTGTTTTCTCCCTCTTTGGCATTTCAGCTTTTATTGTCAAGAAAGTCTTTTAAAGGAAGATGTTGTGGTAGTAACAGTGAATTGTA